ATATTAAATTAATTTTAAAATGTTGGTGTTTATTATTTTTGTCATTATTTTTTTAGTACATAATTGCAAGAAATTTTAAGAAATCTAATTTTACTAAATCGTTTTATTTTCATTTTCACGTGTATTGTGTTATTAGTTATTTTAATTCACACTACTTAAAAACGGATCCATGTTTAACATAATACATTAATAATAAATTATTACATAGTGATAAATATAATGTTTTGTTTGTGTTATTCCTATGCACGGTACGAATATACATTATACCTACATTTTCAACTACAATCAATCAAATGAATCTTAACATTCATTGTCCTATCTTGTATGCTGTCATCAAGAATATTCATTTTTTTTGTCTTTGTCTCTTCTGACGACTGCTGCATCATGCTGGTCGATTATGTATGAAGTTCAAATGAAAACTGTCTATATTTTGCTCTCTTTATCGAATTGATGTCTGGTCTGGTCTCGAAAAAAAGAAGAAAAGAAGCTAACGGAAGTATAATGTAAATAGTAGAAAGAGATATTCGTTCAACTCGCACCCTCACTTTCTTATCACTTCTATCTCTCTATCACTCTCTCGCCCACTGTATTTACATTATAGCGAACTCTGTGCGTTTGGGCGTTTCCGTAGCCGTCACGTTGTACGACCCATTACCAGAAAAAAATGTACAAAAAATAAAATTCATCACGCTCCAGCAAAGCAAACTCAATCCGACTACATTCCAAATTATATCTAATGGAAATATTTTCTTTTAAAATTTATCGTTTTAGGTAAATGAATGTCATAAAGATATACACGTTGTGAAATTCGATCAACTAATTGAACAAATTATGTAGTTGATGACATATTTTTAACTATTTTTAAATAAATCTCAACAGTCCATAATATCAAAACTGTTTCAATAATTTTAAAATATTAGGTAATTAAAAAAAAAAAATTGTAAATCCTCGTATATATATTTTTCTGTGAACAGTGTTTTGATTCGAACTTTTAAATATTACATTTTTCACTTATCTAATCTTATTAAATATTTTATTACAATCACATGTTTCATTCATATTCACAACTTTTTTTTTTTTATAATTGTTAAGTTGCAACATTCAAAAATATAGTTAAATAATTATCAACATTTAAATTTATTTATTATTGTAACCTCGCAAAACTCAATTCATTGTTAATATTGAACTAATTTTATTTTTATTTATGTTATGATGCATAAAATCGTTTTAATCATTTTTATACTTTAGGTTAATATTTAATCATGGCGCGATTATTTCTTATATGGTCATAAAATTAAAATCGTTTATTCGGTATCTTTAGTACTTAAGTAAAATAATTTTTAAAAAATTATACAAACTATCTAATATTACACATTAAAAATACATTATCAAACAGCACTGTATACAAGTCAGACTATAATTTGTTATTATAAGTTTAGTTGCATGCCCTAATTAGTTTAGATTAATACACAAAACTTAGTATATCTAAAGAGACGCATAATCTGAAATAAAGTAAAAATAAATAAATATATTTAGTTTAAAGCAATTCGTTGCTTTGATTAATATATGTCTGTCCTCTTTTGCTTGAAGAGTTAGAGCACAAAATCTATATTGTTCTTCCAGTATTATTTATTGTCAAGAAATCTGATTATATATTAAACCTTTAAATTCAACTACTATGTATCCATATATTTGTCTACGTCATATTGTCGTGTACCACAAACGTCATCCGAGTGTAGCGTCCTATAATCATTCATTGAACAAACGTGAGGTCACTGATTTATAAATTATAAATTATATCAAACTTGTACAATGTACATTTATTATAAACGTTCGTATAATTTATTTACTGACTTAGTACTTTATTAAACATAGTTGTTATTATTATTATTATTGTCATTGTCGTCATTATACATTTTTCAGTTATTACTGCTATTATGTACTACCTACCTGTATATTCTAAACTTGAAATCGAACAAAGTATGTTCAATTTTAATCTCAATTTTGATTTTTAACATCAATTTTTTCTGATTTAAATTTAAAATAATTCATTGGTTTTATAATCTTATGTTTATTTATTATTATTTTTTTTTTCTATACAAAGTATTAAGTATACTTAATATATTTAATTATAATTAAATTTCTATGATATTAATTTGAATTTCTCCCTACGAAAAACTTGTTATCTTTCGCTCTTTTCATACGTCCAAAAACTGCTGTAAAATGGGTAAAAAAAAAAAAATAATAGTTATTAGCTTATTACCTACTCCGTATGAAAAATACTATTAACTTATTGATTGTAGACTAACATTACTTAATTTTAAATTTCAATTAATTGTTTATTTCCATTTTAAATCGATTTATTTATAAAAAAAAAAAAAAAAAATTAAACGACTAAATTGATAAGAAATATCGTATTTAATTTGTTTGTATTTAAATATGTTTTGAATATAAAAAAAAAAAATTAATTTTGATATTACTTTTAATTTTACTTTTAACTACTTATTTGTTTCAATTTTAAATTGATTTTAAGCCTAGACAATGTTCTAACGTTACAGCCACGCCGTACGTAAGACGTTGTCATATTAATACATTTTTGTTTTTATTACCTAGCTATATGTACTTTATTCATTTTAACTGAATTAAACCAGCTCACATAATATTATTACGATATACGTGCACGTGTTTTCTTATATTAATAATATATGTTGAAATTTTTGTCTTTTATCATTAATGATAAAAAATATTTATATTTTCCTAGTGTCTTTAATAACATGCCCGAATAAAAACATATATCATGATTGCGGTTCACTGCATACATTAACATTACATGCGTGATAAATATTTATGCAATATTCATTCATTACTTAATATATGAAAATATATTGTTACAGAATTACTTATATTGTACTTAACGTGAATAATATTTTATTAGGTTAGGTTTAGCGGTTTTGTTTCATGAATCATAATTTATTTTTCTACTTTATATTTTATATTTGGATACAGAAAATAATAAATTTATAGTTAAGTAATCAAATACTCTAGAGTGTAAGGGTAGAGAACAATCACATTCATTCGACATTCTTGTTTTTTTTTTTTTATTTTAAACCACCATCCATTAGTGCATGGTGCATGTATATTGTATAGTTTATTTTGAAAAATATGTTTAACGTATTCTACTCTTTTCATTGTCATAAAAGCAAACGGGACCCACCAAACAGTGACGCAAGTATTCAAAGCTTCGAAAACATAACTGTTCAAACAACATGGGAGTTCTTTATTTAACTAGGAAAAAAATCGGCCATTGCCAATAGCAACGGTTTACTGACATTTCATTTTATGCGACAAAACTTGCTGAAATAATAATACATAATACATAGTGTTTTATACACTGCATGTTTTATAAAAATATGGTTTTTTTTTTTTTTTTCATCATAGCAGTTAATTAATTGAATTTAAATATTTTATTATACCTATAGTCACTTATTGCCTTCCAATTTGTTTTTATTAGATAATACAAGCTGGAAATGGTTTTACTGATTATTTGTCATTTGAATTATTATATTTTAGTGTTTATTAAATTATAGTGTCATTAATTTTTATTATGTATGATGTAGGTACCTATATATATTACCCATAGTTCGTTGTGTTGTTACTTATACCATTGATTTTAGAATATACGAGTATGTTCTTAAGTCAATGCTTATACTAGATTATATTATAACAATGCGTAAATTGTATATGTTGCATTGTACTTGACGAAGTCGAACCGTTTTTTCATATACTTATATTTGATTGGATTTTTGTGGATTAAATACATTATAGAATGAACGTAAATGCAATTCTGGTAACTGAATCAACTATAAGCAATCGTGATTAGACATTACTATCTAATAGGTTGGTAAACAATTATTTTTACAATGTATTTATTTATTTATTTATTTATTGATCTAACATTATTGATTATTATTTTAAAATTTACTGAAAGTAAAAAAAATGTCAATTATTTGCACATATGCTTGCTATACATAATATAATTACCATTAAAACTAAAACATATTAAAAGGCGTAATAAATTGATGAACCAAACATAACCAGATAATTTAATTTTGATCTTTTGTTGAACACGAGACGTTCATTAAATTTTATAAAAAAATTAAATTTTCTTCATTTTTAATATCGTATTCCTAAAATAATTTTTTCCTAAGTGTTTAAATGAACATAAATCGAATTTCAAACAAGTAATTAATTAAATATATGTATTTAATATTTAAATAAAAATAGTAAGTACTCACTTATAGTAGACTAACATTTGTGGTATACCCATTGAACTCTATATGATAACTGGAATGCTCACCAAGCAGTGTTGCCCGAAAGAGGATGTTAGAATGAGATAGCACATACTAATGGTGTTACTATCTTTGTCTTGCACATGGCGCTAATGTCTTAATTTCATATTTTACCGCGATATTATTTTAGTTTGGTTCTTAAAATGTAGTTGCACCTCATTATTTTTTTTAACTTCCACAAAATATTTTTTATTAATTTAATAAAATATAAATAATTAAATGATAAATAAATAGTTTATTAGTTTATAATTATAATTTAAAATAATATAACAAGTATTGAAACATGTTTTTTTGTAGACTTCTGCATTTTTTTGTCATATAAAGGAAGTAATAGGAAATTTTAAGTTGGGAATAAATTAAGTTGTAAATTGAAAGTTAGAAGGTTTTAGTTCATAACTCAAGCATATGAAATAACAACTGCATTTTTAGTAAAATAATATTTATTAAAATATAAACATAGTATTTATAATATTAATCATAATTGAAATAAAAGTGTACTTACGCTATTTACCTGGAGCTATATCTACTACTTACTTTAGATTGTACTTACTACTTTCCTAACTTAAGCTTAATATTGTAGATTTATAATTTAGGAAATATTAGTACTGGAAATATCCAGAAAAACAAAATCTGCAATACATTTTGTTATACTTAAACGCCAATGTCTACAAACTTTGTCTCTGTTTTACAAGTAGATAACATATTTTCATTATTTTGAACGGCTATTGTTGTGGTTGTGTCCTTAAAAATACATATATCCAACAATTTTATCAAAGAACACAAAATTCTTAATACATAATGGCCATGTAATAATATAAAAAATATATAAATACTTGTTTTTATTAATTGTATAATTTACTTACTTCTCGTTGCAGAATTCTCCTTTCTTTAATTTTTGGAGTTAAATGATTTGGGAAATCAAATACAGTTGGTACAGCAGATTTTATTAACATTTTTTTCCCACTTACAACTGCTGAATAGAAGTCAGTTTCATTGAAATGTAAACTACATAAAGTTGTATTGGAACTAGGTTTAAAATCTTTCCTTCGAACAGCATGCACCCATTTTTGAAGCCTCTCTTTATCTTTAAGAGGGAACCTTAAATATTAAAATAATAGATGTAAATCTGTTTAAAAATATCAATGAGTAAAATCAATAACACCATATAATAACTTAATACTAACTTGTGAAATGACAAGTCTTTTCTAACATCACTAGAGCTAGCACAATTAAAGGCACTACAAAAATTCACCATTTTAAGTCTTAACTGCACAGTAGGTACACACTATTTTAATTATTTTTAAAACTTTGAGAACGCAGAAGGCAGAACAAAAGTCAAAACGTTAAACGAACAACGAATTTAAAATGTATTGGTAATCAATTCATATAACTATGTGTGATAAAAAAAGATAGCAACACCATTCTTATCTGCTGTCTTTTTCTAACACGCTATCTCGGTTATGTTTACATTGGTCTTATGACTGGTGAGCATTCCAGTTATCATATAGAGTTCAATGGGTATACCTCTTCATTTATTTAACATAAATACTCAAAAAATACTCTAAAAAATATTTTGCTTTGAAATATGACATTAAAAATATATGTTATAATTTATAAAAGTAAACACTTAACTTTTGCATTATTTTTTGTAAAACGTTAGTATTTTTTTTAAAAAAGGAGTGTTTTACATTAACAAAATCACCCGGGCGTAGTGTAGATATAATATGATGTCATGGCTTCACAAATTTAACAGAATAGTGGGCAGAAACTGTATACTTATATATTAACTTATGATTAAACGGGTTATAATAGCCTACGTTCGCAACAGCTAACTTAATAATTTATAGTAGCCTATAACAGGTAGGAAATTTGTGAACAATTTATAATATAACTATTTAATAATAGTCAATATATAATATACGTATACGAGTTATATTTAAGTTATCAATGTAATATAATGCATATTTATATATTAATATACATGGAAAATATATTATTTATTTACCGAGACAGTAATTTTATGAATACTGTATTTATGAAAAATAATGTAATGAATAGAATAAGGTTTGGAAAATATACTTTCTAATTTATATTTATATGATAAAAGCACTCATTTCAGATTTATTTACTATTTTTTACTATTTCTTGACATCCTCGCGTCAGTCTATAGTTGCGTTACTTAATTACTTTAAATTTTAATAAATTTTACAATAAACTTGTTTTTAAATAATTCTCCAATTAACTACACCTCTTGTATTTTACCAATACACGGTCAATAATTGAACGATTAAGCATGCAACTAAATATATTATAAGAATCTGATATTCCATCTTAAAAAGCTACACCTAATTAGTGATAACTCTTCATATATAGTTTTAATTTTCTGACTTCAAAATCACATACGTTAAGACAATGTACCCTGTTAGTCTACATTTTTTAATAAAAAAAAATTAATTATATTTATAAATATTAAATTTATAAATTAGTAAATATAAATTATTAAAATAAATTTAATCTCCATTGTAATATTATTCAAAATTTGGTTTATATTGGTTCATGTTTTATTTTTTTTATTTTTAGTATGACAACGCTGTTCTATACACTCGTCTATTACTATATACTGTAATTGTGCCAAATTGTTATTATTTCATCGAATATTTATAATAACTCAATATGAATAAAACACAAATAATTTTCAAATTAAAAGAAAGTTTACATATCAAATAATAATTGAAGTTCTAGAATTCTGAGTATTCTAATTTTCCATTGCTCTAATGGAACTCTTAGCTCATATTTGTTGGTATCTATAAACAACTTCACAAACTTAACAATAACAAATATGTATAAGTAGAATTTTTGTAGAGTAAACCTGTTGAAAAAATATAATATATCACGTTATCTGTGTATCAAAACAATGTTACTAGCTAACGGTAAAACACGTTTTGGCGTAAAAAAATAAAATCAAAGTTTTTTTTATAATTTTGTCATGATATTTGCGCATTTATAAAGTCAATATTACGGTGTTACGAGATATCGTCCATTCGGTAAATTGCGCGTCCTGCGTATAAAGAATAATGTCACTAAAAAAAAAATCTATTTTGGAGAGACTAACCCAGAGAACTCATTCGGTTCTTTGATTAATTTTAGTGATAGTTTGTCAATGTCGAATAAGCAAGGTTTTAAAACCAAGTTTTAGGGTTTTTAACGTTTTATCACAACTACCTGCTGTATGATTAAATAATTCGATTGAATTATATTTTCAACTATTATTTGTTCTAATTTATCATGTTCATAAAAATATTAAATTATGACTAAACACTCGAAACTTAAACACCGGTATTTTCTCGATAACTCAACGGTCCAATCCAGGCCTGTTGTTTTTGCAATCCGGCATTAGTCTTATATTATCTCTAGTTGTACAGACACCACAACCACCGCGCAATGGCTTATATTATTATATATATTATAACAATTTATTATTATAAAAATAATACGAAACACACACCGCGATGTTTAAAAACACGACATATAAAATAGCTTGAAAATCGTATCGGAAAAGTCAATAGTGCGCTCGGCGTAAAACCGTGGCGTCGTCAACGTTCATGACACAGTTTTCGCGCGGGGTCAGAAGCCTGTGAAATTCAGTATCTACTCCCTCATTCTTTCTCCCTCCGTCTCTTCAAACTATGCTTTTGTCTCTGTCTCTCTCCAAATCTCTCACCATCCGGTTGTACGCACGTTAAGAATTACTCGGTAGAGCTTTTTGAACGTTTACGACTATCACCGCCGCGTCGCGGTCGTAAACGTCTAGCAGCGCGATCCACGGAGACCTCAGTCCCCACAGGAATTTAATTATAACCGTCGGAAAAACTAACGCGCGCGAGCGCGTATGTGTGTTAGTGTACAAAGTAGGTCGTAACTCGATTGCGGGTAGACTTTTTTTTTTTTATTTAATTTTTCTTCAGCTTTTTCGTGTTTTGTTTCCACGAGTGTTCTTACACATATACGCGTGCTAAAAAAACACACTTATTGTCTTTATCTGCACCTTATACTACTGAAACGTAATATAATCATGTACTGCAGCACTCTAAGTCGACGTTTCTCTATTTTTAGTATATGTCGGAGACACAAAAAGATAGACCCAAGGATAGTGAGAGAGAAAAATGTTTCGAATAATACCATTCGGTTGTTTCGTACTTTATTTCTTTTCCTAATAATAAATCTCAGTTATTATTCGCACCAACTTTAGTGTGATAATATAGTGGTAGTAGACAGTTGTAGTAGTAGTAGTATACATTTGCTATATCTTTATATTACCTTGCGCGTCTACCCTACCGGATTAAACAAAGCGTATGCTTCTCTATTTTATCTGCGTTATGTATGTTTATGTGTGTGTGCGTGCGTGCGTTTACAGTTAGTGTATCTCCACCTACAAGCTGTATATTTAGCTCTGCTATATTTTGAACGGCCGAGTTTTTCGTACAGAATTGTTACACGAATATAATGGGGTAAATTTCTATCGAGTAATTTTAAAAAATCGATTTATTCGGAAAACAAAAGGTTCGTTTTTGGTTTTGAGAGGTACCTATATATAGTGTTAGAGTATATACGTTCTCATTTGCGGCGTGTGAGTTCAAGTAAAAATGTACAATTGATACTCCTGCGCCCAAGTGTCGTCTGCCTGCGGCGTAAGAGATGGAATAACAACAAAATCAACGAGGGAAAAAAAAGCAAAAGTGAAAAAGAAACAGACTCTGCCGCGTTAACTAATGGCTTTTAGAGCCCACCCACCGCCACGCCGTTGTCTATACCCGTCGTTCATGTCTAGTGAGAGCTGAGTAAGACAAAAGGTTTAAAGTGAAACCATGAAAATGTTGGGATTTGATAAATGATCTGCATGACGATTATACAAACATTGTTCCAAGTTTTGCCGGTTTCGTATCTATAATTCGTGTGTGTGTGGGTGTATAGCACAAAATATAATGTATATATGATATACTGCTACAACTTTTGACGCCGTCTTAATGACGTCGACTGGGTATTGAAAAATGCGCAATATATACTACATAGTTTTGTTTTAAAACAACGTCTGCTCTTCTCTCGTCTATAAAGATACGTATCATGATTTCTGAAAGTTTCTCACCCTTTTTCGTTGAATACGTCTCAAGTGGCACTTGGTCATTAAAATTGTAAATTTTTTCATCGTGGATAGCTGCTGATTCTACGAATGAGACTTGCATTAAGCAACCCCTCTCACGACTCACGAGTCTGATTTATTTTTATTTATTTTTTCTACTATTAATTTCATTACCTTTTCTAACAAAACAAACTCAGTAATAACAATAGGTATGTAAATTTGAGAAGGTTATTTTTTTTTAATATTTAACCTATTTAACCACGACAATAAAACAACTAAAACCTTCACTAAAAGTTGAACTTTGATGTCCCTGATATTAATTAGATTCTTAAATATATATTATTAATAAATCTTTAACACTGATGATAGATTTTGGTAGAAGTATTCTAGGTATTTTGGGAGAAAAAGTGAAAATTCTTTTCAGTTGGATTTTTTGTATACATTAACTTATCACTGAATACAAATTGAGAACATTCGTTAATGAGATCCATTTGAATAGATTAATTTTATAGCAGAGCCAGTTTTATATATATTATATTTATTTTACTGAGGAAAGGGGTTGTTAAAATTAATACTGAATTTACACTATTTAATATTATCAATCAAACTCAAATGGATTAATATTATTCGTATATAATTTCAAAGACTTTTTTAGAGAAATTAAATTATTTCAAATATGAATGTTAACTTTATGTATTATACATTGTGCTTTAATATTCATCTCTTTTTAAAGTTTTTGAAATATGTTTGCTCACTGCATTTACTAGGTACTAATATAAAGAGTTTGATGATAATTTTCAGTCGTTAAAAATAATTACGTTAAAACTAATTAAATGCATTCTCGTGGTTGTTTGAAATTAAGGTGTAGTTTTTTAAAGTAACACCAGCAAATTATTTTAATTTGTCGAGAAATATTATACATCATTATTAATCATTCTTCAAGTACACTCCCCTCCCCTTTAGTCACAAGAATTTTTTTTACGCCTAGAACGTGAAACTTAGAGTTTTTAACTGAATCGTCAGTCGTTTAAGTTGATCAAAATACAAAAATATCAGATGTTACGCCTCAAGTATAGAAACTATTTTTTCCAAAGAAAATCATATTATTATTATATTAAAAGTCCGTTAACTCTTCGTAGCAATCGATATATATTTTATACTTATATATACATATATTATAATGTCATTTGTTTTCACTTGTAGATAATAAACAAAATAATATGAGAAATCGATATAGAGTTAAAAACAAAAAAAATAAATATTTTCGGCATTATAGTAGTTCGAATAGATAAGGTTGCCATTTGACGATA